CAACCCAACCTCTGGGTCAAAGCAACCCAACCTCTGGGTCAAAACAACCCAACCTCTGGGTCAAAGCAACCCAACCTCTGGGTCAAAACAACCCAACCTCTGGGTCAAAGCAACCCAACCTCTGGGTCAAAACAACCCAACCTCTGGGTCAAAGCAACCCAACCTCTGGGTCAAAACAACCCAACCTCTGGGTCAAAGCAACCCAACCTCTGGGTCAAAACAACCCAACCTCTGGGTCAAAGCAACCCAACCTCTGGGTCAAAACAACCCAACCTCTGGGTCAAAGCAACCCAATAGTTGGGTTTGTCCCTTTTTAACCCAGTGCTGGGTTAAATTGAACCCAGCATTTTTTTAGAGTGTGGACTAACCCAACCATTGGGTTAATTTCTTAAATTAATTTTTTAACCCAAAACTTGAGTTACTCCATATTTGACCCAAAGTTGGTTTGATGACAAAATAGAGATTCCCCTTGAAGAAAAAAAAAAGAACTTAATAATTAATTAAAAGCAACACAGACAGTCAAAAGACCTGTGATACAGTTAATAAAGAATATACTACAATATTCAAAAACCAATTAAAGACAAAACATTTAGAAGTAGAAAAGAAGAGAAGAAAATGTATGCACAGACTAGGTTATTAGGACACAAGTCTAAACAATTATTTCTAATGAATAAGTCAAATGCATATAAAGAAAATGCAAAGCATGTACTGAGGAAGTTTAGAGTGTATTATCAAAACTAGAAGGAAATGGGATGCTACTAAAATCAGGAAACAATCAATTATAAGGGCATTAGTTAAATTTTTATATCTTATTAGGAAAATATATGTAGAGATCAATGAAGAAATGCTTTTACACACTCCAATATCGTAGGTGGCGGTATGCAGCTTTAACGACGGACTTTCTGTAACCCGCCAAAAAACAAAAAAAGGAGAACAAGACGAACAGTTTCGCGGGAATACATGTGGGGTTGTGTTTGAATTTGAGTTGAACCTAAAGCAGAAGAAAATGTCCAGCGCCGCAGTGGAACTGACTAATGGCCATTGCGCGGACGCAGAAAACAAGAGAGAAAACAAAAAACACTTTTCTCAGTTCTGTGATGAACGCGGTTATTTGGACCTGGTCGAGTTCATTCTGCAGGACGGAGTCCGGAAAGGAGACCGAACCGGGACGGGGGTGATCTCTGTGTTCGGGACGCAGGCGAGGTACAGCCTCAGAGGTCAGTCAAAACAGCTCATGCACTGAATTTGATCAAAGCCGATTATAAGGAAAATGTATTTGGGCAAACCAGAAAAAAAAAAAAAGTCAAGACGTGGTTGCTTGGTGGCATGCACAAGCGAAAAGTCTTGAGAAAAGCATAATTTGCATGTGATTTAAAGGGATAGTTCACCCAAAAATCATCATTTACTTGAATCAAACAGCTGGTGGTTGCCATTGACTTCCATAGTAGGAAAAAAATACTATGGAAGTCAATGGCAACCACCAACTGTTTGATTACCAGCAATCTTCAACATATCTTCTTTTGTGTTCAGCATGAGAAAGCAACTCGTACAGGTTTGGAACGACACGAGGGTGAGTAAATGCTGACGGAATTTTCATTTTTGGGTGAGCTATCCCTTTAAGTCTGTTTTAAAGGTATAGTACACCTAAAATTGCTGCAGATGTGCTCACCTCCAGGCCAGCTGAGATGTAGATGAGTTTGTTCTTCATCAGATTTGGATCAATTTTGCATTGCGGTGAATGGGTGCCGTCAGAACGAGAGTCCAAACAGCTGATAAAAGCATCACAATAATCCACACCACTCCAGTCCACCAGTTAACATCTTGAGAAGACAAAAGCTGAAACAAATCCGGCTAAAATATGAGTCCATAATTCATAATAACGCTTTCTCCAGTGAGACAGTCCATCCACTGTTGTCCTCTCGCATTAAAATCCACCCACATATTTGTTTAGAGCTGTTGTGGCTTGTAAATCAGTGCAGATGTCTCTCCTGATTCAAACCAAAGCAGTGTTTTGGAAAGAGGACTCGTATTTTCCCCCGGAAGCAACGGTGTGAAGTTAAAAGTCAACTACCTCTGAATGTTGAAGTGGCACTAAACTAGAATTACAAATGCTTTCACAGATCAGTTTCCTTTGCTGACGACCAAAAGGGTTTTCTGGAAAGGCATTTTGGAGGAGCTGCTGTGGTTTATCAAGGTAGGAAAACATCCCGTACTATTTGTTTTATTTCTGTTATATATTCATTTTGCATTTTGTATTGCATTAGTTGCATTTGCTATTGAGTTTAGGGTTCAACCAATGCCAAAGAGCTGTCGGAGAAGGGTGTGAGAATCTGGGATGCTAACGGCTCCAGGGAGTTTCTGGATAAGAACGGCTTCAGCGATCGCGAGGAAGGAGATCTGGGTCCCGTGTATGGCTTTCAGTGGAGGCACTTTGGAGCGGAGTACAAAGACATGCACACTGGTAACTGTGCTTCTTTCTATACAGCCAGTTGACATGACATATCATAGCAGTGCTGTGCTTTACTGTAGGATACATAGGAGACTGACTCTGATATTATGCATGGAGTCTTTAACTAGAACCGCTAGTGGTCCTTGTATACATACAATTAACCCATGCACATGACTACTGTTTTGATAGGGCTAAAAAACGTATTATGTCGTATTAAGCAGGTTACACTAATCACTTTTCTTAACGGTGAATATAAGCTAAACCAGCTTGCAATGACAACGGGAATTAGAAGGAAATAAATACATGTTTTGGTGGTGTAATATTATAATAAAATGCCATTAATCACATATTAAGTAAGACCCATGTCTGAATTTATTTAATTTATTTTTTCAGGAAATGGGCAGACGAATAAAAAGCAACACAGTAGCGGACAATAATAGATCAAAATTGCACAGCAAAAATGAATAATTAATCCAAAGTTTATTTTAGCCTACTCATAAATGTTCAAACTTTCGATTAATTATTAATTTTTGTTAATTTATTGTTCGCAACTGTGTTGCTATTTATACTAGTCTGCCCGTTTCCTGAAAAAAAAACAATTGTAATGAATAAAACAGTTTTTTATGATTACCCCAAGCTTATCGGTGTTGTTATTGCTGCAAATATACCCCAGCGACTTAAGATAGTAATAATGATCATATAATAATCATATTTATTAATATTTTGGATTGGCTTTATTTTATTTTTCATTTTAATTGAAGTTTCAGTAATTCTGAAGTTTAAAAGTTTGTGCTTTTGTCATTTTGATTAGTTTAATATTACATATTTCTATTTAGATTTATTTTTATTTCAATTTAAGGTTTAGTCATTTTAGTATTTAAACTTTTATTTTATTTAGTTGCCAAGGCAACATTTGCACAAAAAAAAATTCCAGTTTTATATCACTTACCAAAAACATTTTTAATAGTTTATTTCAGTTAACAATAAAAAAAAAACTATAACAAGTTTTAGCAATTTTAGTACTTAAACTTATTTCAGTTAGTTGCCAAGCTTTTTTTTTTTTTTTTTCAGGTTTATTTTTAGTAAAAAAAAAAAAAAAATTCTTTTAAGCTTTTCATCTAATATTTATATTTTATTTCATCTTTATTTCAATTACCAAAAAATCTTTTTAAGTTTGTTTTCATTTTAATTAACAATAACGATTTAGTTTTTAGCACTTCAGCTTATTTCAGTTAAAGTTTAGGGTAAGTGTAATATTTTATTTCAGCTGTATTTCAAATACTGAATAATAAAAAAAAAAGCATATTAAATTAAAAAGTGTCAAAATATATATTTTTCAAAAGTGTAATTTAAAAAAAATATTTTTTGTTAATAATAAAAGCACTGCCCTCCAGTGTCACAACTTAAACATTTATGCATGATGGCGAATTAATTTTATACTTAATTGTTATCGGCAGACCTGCCTGTGATGGCGTTGCCCCCGTGCCATGCGTTGTGTCAGTTTTACGTGTCAGACGGTGAGTTGTCGTGTCAGCTGTACCAGCGCTCTGGTGATATCGGTCTGGGTGTGCCTTTCAACATCGCCAGCTACGCACTGCTGACCTACATGATTGCCCACATCACTGGACTCAAGGTGAACGCATTTCACAATCTGATGATTTAATCATACAGTGTGCTGTAATACAGAAATAATTAACAGCAGAATGCTGCAATTGACTGTAAAAACAAGTAATCCAGACTTGTTTATTAGACCTTAAAGGGATAGTTCACCCCAAAAATGAAAATGTGATGTTTATCTGCTTACCCCCAGGGCATCCACGATGTAGGTGACTTTGTTTCTTCAGTAGAACACAAACTGAGATTTTTAACTCAAACCGTTGCAGTCTGTCAGTCATAGTATTTTTGAAACCGAGTTACATTGTTTGTTAAATTATATCACCTTCACCTGTTTTCCAGAATAAATATGCCTACATATTTTGAAAAAGGTGTGTGTGTGGAAAGAGTGTTTCTAACACATGTCCTGTGCCCACAGATTCGGCGAGAGCCGCGTCCGTTCCCCAAACTCAAGATCAAACGCAAAGTTGAACGAATTGATGATTTCCAGGCAGAGGATTTTGAGATCTATGACTATGACCCCCATCCTGCAATCAAAATGCAAATGGCTGTTTAGATCTTATGAACATCGAGGAAAAAAAAATGTTGTTTTAGTAGTTAAATAAATCTGATCTTTTCGAATATTTAAAATAAAGACAGTAAGTACATATTAATGGGAGAAGTGGTCTTGAGGTTCATAACATAACATCTGTTCTCAGTTAGGACCAATGTAATCTGCGTCTGTGAATGTCATCCTGCAAAAATCAGACCCAACCTTGACTTCAAATCTAAACCATCCTGGAGCAAGTGCTTCAGAGCAGAGCAGCACAGAACTAAACATGCTAAGCATGCAAATGATTTTTGTTAATATCTGAATATGTCTATAATAGAAACCAAACACATGCCAGCCAAAAGAACACACACTTGGATGAGTTGTTGGTCAGTGTTCTGTTCACACTTTTCACTCTTGTGTAGGGTTGCAAATGGGTGGAAAATTTCGGGTAAATTTCCGGAAACTTTCCAAAAAATCCTGGAAAGTCCAAAATTTCTGGAATGTTTCCGAAATTTACTTGAAATTTTCCACCGTTTTGCAACCCTACTCTTGTGTCATGTTGTTAGACAGTATTTGGGTTATTTTTGTTTTTAAAAAAATTTTAAAAAAAATTTAAACTATAAAACAGTTTGAGATAAAGGGTGTTTTATGACAAATCTTTTAACTTAGATGAGTCACTGAGGTGTTTTTTTTTTACCTTTACTTTGCTGCCCCCTTTTGGCTTTTACCAATATATCTAAAAGAGAAATGGAGTTATGCATTATGTGAATGCAACAGCTGATTATGACAATGCCAATACAATTCTTGATGACCTAATCATTGATATATCTGAAATCGATACAGCTGATCAACTTTACAGGATCCAAGGCAGATGATTCATAAATATAAACGTAATGCTAAACATTCACCACATTTATTTGTATTTATATATTTATGATGTACTGACTTTTATTGCAAGTCATATTTCCAATGTTTGCACAACAGCCTTTTTCCACCTTAGAAATGTTGCTAAACTAAGACATATTCTGTCTGTTTCTGATGCTGAAAAACTAATTCCTGCGTTCATGACCTTAAGATTATTGTAATGAATTACCGAGTATGCCATGCAGGCTCAATAAATAAGCTTCAGATGGTTCAAAAGACGGCAGCTAGTGTGCCAAGAAATATGATCAGCTTCATTGGCTATCTGTCAGGTTCTAAAGCTTTGAATAGGGCTATCATTTATCATATTCAATAGACAGTCACAAAATTCCAGCCATCAAAGTCCAAAAAAAAGAGCCTAAACTGTGCACACTAGTGGACTTAAGATATTTTGTATTATGCACTTTGGAGTAAGTTATTGGCATGACTTTCAATTTAAAGTGGGCAACCAAAATCTTCAATCCTGTCGTTTATATGCGTTAACAGCAACAGTGACACATCACCAAGGCTCAAAGTGTTATTAACTGTACAAAACCTCGTAAACAAATTAATAATCCCAACTCAAAATTGCATACGATTTTATCCAATCAAATAATACTCTACATAGCAAATGCCAACTGCTTGATAGACTGCTTTGAAACAATGCGTGTGGTAAAAAGCACTAAATAAATTGGCTTTTGTTGCATTGAGTTCCTACTGTCAGGTCTGTACATAGTAAATGTAAATTATGTAATTAGTATTACTTTTACTAATTTTGAATCATTTGAGATTTAAGTGATATTTGGGATGTATGCACACACACACACAAACCAAGAGAAGGAAGAGGTTAATGGTACCAGAGCACGTAGAATCCAAATGTCCTTTTAATTTGAACAAAATTACCACACTATTTGCTTAAAAAAGTTGCACGCATGTTGACACTGCAGTATGTTATGCACGCTTTCTCATGCATAAAATAAATGTCATATGTGCCTCATAAAGAACACAGACACAAGCATATTTGACTAATTAAGGCAAACAGAGACATATGTTCAAATGAGCCATAAAAGCAAACACAGGTTAATGCACAGGACAAAACTGGATGGGTTCTGACTGTGACATTGATGCACAGAGCTGGGCCGATTCCAAAATTACAAGACAAAAATTGTAGTTAGTAACGTAATCCCTTACATTACACATTTTAGGTAATATAAACAGACTACATTTAACCTAACTCATTTATCAGATTGAGTTAAATAGGATAATCTTGTACCATACTGATAAAAAAAAAATACAAAGAGTAAGAAAATATATTCCATTATTAACAACATGGAGTGCATTAAACATTACACTCTGTCAAGGTTTCCCAAACGGGTTCGTGAAGATACTGCAAGGGGTTTGTGATTTTAATGACAAGCTAATAATTAAAGCATACTTTCAATTTAAAGTGGGCAACCAAAATCTTCAATCCTGTCGTTTATATGCGTTAACAGCAACAGTGACACATCACCAAGGCTCAAAGTGTTATTAACTGTACAAAACCTCGTAAACAAATTAATAATCCCAACTCAAAATTGCATACGATTTTATCCAATCAAATAATACTCTACATAGCAAATGCCAACTGCTTGATAGACTGCTTTGAAACAATGCGTGTGGTAAAAAGCACTAAATAAATTGGCTTTTGTTGCATTGAGTTCCTACTGTCAGGTCTGTACATAGTAAATGTAAATTATGTAATTAGTATTACTTTTACTAATTTTGAATCATTTGAGATTTAAGTGATATTTGGGATGTATGCACACACACACACAAACCAAGAGAAGGAAGAGGTTAATGGTACCAGAGCACGTAGAATCCAAATGTCCTTTTAATTTGAACAAAATTACCACACTATTTGCTTAAAAAAGTTGCACGCATGTTGACACTGCAGTATGTTATGCACGCTTTCTCATGCATAAAATAAATGTCATATGTGCCTCATAAAGAACACAGACACAAGCATATTTGACTAATTAAGGCAAACAGAGACATATGTTCAAATGAGCCATAAAAGCAAACACAGGTTAATGCACAGGACAAAACTGGATGGGTTCTGACTGTGACATTGATGCACAGAGCTGGGCCGATTCCAAAATTACAAGACAAAAATTGTAGTTAGTAACGTAATCCCTTACATTACACATTTTAGGTAATATAAACAGACTACATTTAACCTAACTCATTTATCAGATTGAGTTAAATAGGATAATCTTGTACCATACTGATAAAAAAAAAATACAAAGAGTAAGAAAATATATTCCATTATTAACAACATGGAGTGCATTAAACATTACACTCTGTCAAGGTTTCCCAAACGGGTTCGTGAAGATACTGCAAGGGGTTTGTGATTTTAATGACAAGCTAATAATTAAAGCATAAAAATGTAAAATTAAAACTCATTTTAAAATGACATCAACCGAAATAAAACACTTATTAAAAAAGAGCAACATGCAATATTCAAATAAAAATGTGATACTTAATTATTAGAATATTTCTTTTAAAAATCTCTGCGGTTCGGAGATCTAAGAGAGAGAGAAAAAAATCCGTTCTGTGCTCATAAGGATAACAAAGTGACGCATAGAAAAGTTTAAAGAGCAGACTGGAAGAGAGAGAGAGAGAGAGAGAGAGAGATTTTTATCTCAGGTATGAAACCACTGCTGGAAGAGACGCATGGGTTTGTTGGGACCGGTATTCTGTGTGCAATAATTCAGTTTTGAGTACATCTTTTTTGGGAGTAGTTGTAGCCTACTTGAAGCATCCTTTTAGTGTTGATCTCAGAGACACCTGATGCTGCCATTAAACTAATAGAAGGACAGTGAAGCGATAGGCTACAGTTTGGAACGTCGAAGACCGAACGTTCTAAATACTTCTCTGTGAATTAAGTGATGCTTTCTTCTACAGAATGATGTCGAGCAGCAAAACGACTCTTGCGTTCCTCATCTACGGGCTCCTCGTACACCACGTGTTGAGTTACCCGAGCATCAGGTACGGAAACTTTCACCTAACGCTCGGTAACAATTTGGATTTTGAGGATTTCGAGTAGCCTGCAGCGTAGCTGGAGTAACACTGTTAAACGAATAAAACAATTTGAGCCCGGTCTCATGAAAAGGCGTATAAATAGTACGCCAAATAAAAACGAAAACTCGTGGTATTGATACGCAAAAATGGACTTAGGCGTGCATATGATACGCATGTGTTTGGCGTGCATATAATACGCAGTTTTCGCGTGCATATGATACGCATGTGTTTGGCGTGCATATAATACGCAGTTTTCGCGTGCATATGATACGCATCTACCCCACAACCCTAAACATACCCATCGCGTAGCATATACACGCCAAAATCAATTTTTGCGTATCAATATTTTTCGTTTTTATTTGCCGTAGTATTTACACGCACTTTCATGAGATCGGGTTGTTTATTGACAAGTGTCCGATCACACCAATTTGAACAGATGCCTTTTTTTTGGTTCGCTGTATGTCTAATAAAAAATAACAAGTATTAGGGGCTACTCAAGAGGTGTTTTATTGCTTACATGCGCGTGCTTTGTTCGAAAAGACAAAAGTGTGAACGCACTTTGATTAGAAAGTAGCCTTCAGTTGATTCAATTTTAAAGTAAATAGTTTTAAAAGGCACGACCATATATTGCTTGATTTTACCAGGCATAAATAAAGTACAATAGCTTATAAGAAAAAATATTGATCACGGATGTCCACAATGCTTTTTTGGACAAACTAAAATTTAAAAGCATTTTTTACATACATATCTTTACTATTTTGTTATTACATAATAGTATATGCATTTGAAATGTTTAGAGCACAGTAATAGCCTGTGTTAATTACTTGCGAATGAAATGACTTGATGTTTTGTTACAGAATGGAGACTGCAGGATTTGACGAGGAGGGAAACTCATTAACGGATCTAACCTTTGACACTGACCAGATCACTATTCGAAGCTCTCCTTCAGTTACTGAAGACGCATACACGTTGTACAGTCCTCCATCGAAAAGGTGATCATAGGCTACTTCTTTCTTCCCGAGCTCCTGTTCTATTTCTAGGCATTCCCAAAATAGTACCCGTTT